AATTGAAAAAATATAAATGCTGACCAACGTTGTTGATATTCACTATTATTTGTTGATATTGATGATACATAACCACCAAATGATGATTGAAGTAAATGTAAATAAAGTAATGAAGGATTTGGCATTGTTGAAACATATTCATAAAATCGAATAACTATTAAAAGAATTGAACATGATTTATGAAGTTGATTTACGACAAGCATTGAAACAATTGAATTGAATATACATGCATTAAATTCAACTTCTTCTTGATGAAAATCTTCTGATAAATGAAGACGAGTTATTCTAAAAAAAAAATAAATTTTATTATTTTAATCATTATTTAACAAACAAAATAGATTGATGTCGAATTTAATCTCAATAAGAGAAAAGAACTATTACACACGAACAATTCTTCTGAGGAATAGTTTCGAGCTGTTAAAGTCCAAAACTTATAAAAATACGGAAAATGAGTTAAATAAGAACTTCTTCATGAACAACTACAACAGCTTAATATAGAGTTTTCATTTGATAACAAGTGACTCGTATTTGAAACGAATAAGAATTCTGTTTAACTAGAAAAATGATTTTCTTGTATTACTTTAATTGGTTCGTTATCTGAGGTTCAACTTCCAGGTCACCGCTTTTTTTTTTGTTTATCTATAAATTGTCTAGATCTTTGAATATCATATAAGGAAAATTTTTTTTGACTTATAATTGTTAAAATTATGATTGACAATAAAGTACTCTTTAAGCTATGCAAAAGAGTATAGGAAAATTTAAAGTTGTTAAGAAAGATTTGAAAGATTTTTTTTGTTTGATAAACAAAACTTAATAATAATCTAACATATGAAAATATTTTTCTATTAAATATGCCTTTCATTTCTTAACTTTTTCAAAAATTGTATATTATAAATAATGAAAATCTTACTTAGAAAGAATTTGTTCATAAACATCTGGTCTTGTAGATTCTCCTATAGTCGTTTTTTGTGCAATTTGTGTTAATTGTTCTTGTAATTGTCTCCATTCTGTTTGTTCTTTTTGTGCTTTTATTGTCATTAACCAAAGACAATAATAAGTTGTATTTGTAAAAAATAAAAGAAATAAATTTGAAACTGCTATAAGCATTTCTTTTCCACTTGGAGTTATTTCTTGATTTGAATAAATACATAATGCTGAACAAAGCCATTTTGCAAGTAAATTTATTTGTTTACCAAGATGAGGTGCTTGTTCAGCAGTAACATGCATTGTTTTAAGTGTATCTGATAATAATTCAAGTAAAAATTTAATTTGTACATCATCTATAATTGATGATGATGAAGGTTTTAATGAAAGAAGACGTTCAATAACTAATGATTCATTAACATAACCAGATCTTGTATGAAATTTAAAATATGATTGAAGAAGAGTTGATGATGTTGCTGAATCAATATGTTCAAGTATTTGTTCTAAAATTGAGATATTAATGAAAAACAAAATCGATAAGATAGATCATTTTATTTTACTTGTAAATAATGTTCGAAATTCTTCTTCTGTTCGACATTCAGCAACTAATGGTGAAAGTGATGCTGAAAAACTTGTTTCATCAGAACGAAGTTTCCATGCTTCGATTAATTTTTCTTGAAGAATATTTGCATCCAACACCATTCTATAAGAATGAATTAATAACCGAATCTATAAATAATAGAATGTTTCTATTATCGAATATTCAAAGTATATTAATTCATAAAAAAAAAATAAACATGTTTTAAAATAGACTCTTGAAAATCTTTGTCAATTTTGATTTCTCTTGGGTAAAATGAATTTGAATACAATAACAAAACAAAATATAATAAAATTAACGATTGAACGAGTTATTGCAAAATCAATAAATAACATTATCTATATTGACCAAATCATTTTGAATTTTTTTTTTGTGCGATGAGAATTGATTTATCAAAAAAATTATATTGAAAAGAGAAACTTTATTTGAAATTTTTAAAAAATCATAATCTCAATAGATTTTCATTCTTGAAATTTGAATTAACAGATAAATTTTTTCTCATGTTAGTTCCTTTCTGTTCCTCTTCATTTTTCTAATATGGAAAGTGACTCATCATTAATAACATCACCCTCCAATCAGTAAATCTTTTATGTCAACAATAGATGGAGGTAAGTGTCCTTGGCTTTTATCAATAATGTATATACCTTTTTAGTACTAATTCAACATTAAAGATAAGATCACAGCAAGACAGCAAACACCTTACCTTGTTCTTTTCGTCTCACTCTGTTTTTTTTTGGTTTTATCTCGTCGTACATAGTTATGTCTGCAGCTCCTGAGCAAGCATCTAAACCAAGTGGTGACTGGTCTCGATTATTATTAAATAAAGTAGTTATTGTAACTGGTGCTGGTGGAGCTATTGGTTCTGCAATAGTACATGCATGTATATTGCATGGAGCACGTGTGGTAGTATCTGATATCAATAAAAAAGCAGCTGATGATGTTGTAATGAAAATTATGAATGAAGATGAAACTAGAAAAGAATATATTATGGCAATTGAACTTGATGTGACTGATGAACAAGCAATTCAAAATGCAGTAAAAACTGTCGTAGATAAATGGAATACAGTTGATGTACTTGTCAATAAGTACGTTGATAGTTTTCGTAAGATAAAGAAAAAGTTTATTTTTTTCTTTTATTTCTTATTAGTGCTGCTATTTTTACATTGTGTTCAGTTGAGAATGCATCAGCAGATGCATGGTCTAACATATTGAATGTTAACGTACGTGGTTATGCTCTCATGGCTAAAGCTGTTGTTCCTTTACTAAAAAAACAACGATCAGGTTCAATAATTCAAATGGCTAGTATCAGTAGTTGGATTGCACAACCTGAATTTGTACCTTATAGTACAACAAAAGGAGCTATTCTACAAATGACACGTAATTTAGCACTTGATTTGGGTCCATTTAATATCCGATGTAATGCTATTTGTCCTGGTACTATTCTCACACCAGCGACAGTTACTCATGCAGCTAATTTAAAATTAACAATGGATGAATTTTTTACAGAAGAAGTAAAAAAACAATGTTTAAAACGATTGGGTACACCTCAAGAGATAGCTAATTTAACAGTATTTCTTGCTTCAGATTTATGTCATTTTGCAACAGGTGCTAGCTTTTTAGCCGATGGAGGTTATACAACTATTTAGAATGATTTGTTTTTCTTATTATTTATTTCAAATTATTTATAAGCTAAACATGCGTTGTGAATTAAATTATACTTCATTTAAGTTACTAACGACATAGGGTAATCAATGTGAATAAAATGGATTAGTTATTTTTTGTTTTTATTTATTAATATTTCTATTTGTGTTTCAGCTATTGTATATTAATTATATTTTAATATAGAAAGAATAAGTTACGTTTAAATATCTTGTTTTATTTTTGTGTCTATATCAATTATGGTGATTGATTGTTTGTTTGTTTTAAGCTGGATGAGTCATGTTCCATCATAATTCTACTATAGTTTTATTTGAAAATTTACATCTCAACAATTTGAGATAAACGATTTGTAAAATTATGAATTCAATCTATGTCTTATAAGTTATGTAGAAGTGCGTGATAGTTATATTAGCATTATTATATTACTTTATCTAAAATATCACAGTTTTAGATGCAAATTTTACTTCTAAAAGTTCACTTGAAATAAAAGCACTTTCTCTTCAAAATATATTATCAAAATTCATTAATATAATAACATGAAAAAAGAAAGATTTCTTGAGTCAAAATGATTATAGTCAATGTTGTCTTCAATATGTAGTTTTTGTTTTCCATGATAAGTTATCAAGTGTTACATGGACTGGATGTATTGTTTTGTATGAATATTGTTGATACAAGCAGTAAGTAGTTCTTTTCATTCTATTCCATCAACTGAAAAGAAAAACAATCTCTTCAGGTAAGAAGAAATACAACTAAGCAACACGTCAAACAACATACTATATTATTATGAAAAGAAAGAGATAAAGAATAAAAATAGTACTTCATCATTCGCAGGAGAGGTCAACAAATTATTCCTCGAGTTCATGATTTTTCACAAATTGCAGCATTTTATGTCGTTTGTCAAGATAAAAAAAGCGAATGAACAATGGGCTAAAACTTATCGTAAGGTAAAATGTGGTCTAACAACATAGTTCATACCTAATAACTGTTCTTTTATTGAATAGTTTAGTGGTGTTTTCGTACAACGTTCAAAACTTGTTGCTCAAATATCGAGAGATCAAATTTCTCGAACGAAAGTAGACGATAATCCTTCAGTTTCTGTATTAACTCAACAAACACAATCCATCGAAGCTCATAATGCTACCTTTATGTGATTTCAATTATTTATTGAAGTTCTTGTTCGTTACGAATCATAAAACTACTGATCGTAATGAACTTATTGATATTTGAAGAAACAATTACAAAGATAACTCTCAAGAGATGTGTATCATTAATGAATTTGAAAAAAATTATACACCATCTGGTGGTATACACGTGATTCATGTTTTCATAGAATTTTGAATAAAGCATTACGTGTACAAGACTTTGATATGCTATTTACATTACGATTTTTCATTAGTGATATTACTGCACTGATCAAAAATGAATATGAAATGTTCATTCGTACTTGTAACAATCGAAATATAATTCAAGTTTATCGTGAACAAATAGTTGGAAATGATGAACTTAACTTAATGAAGAATAACATTGGTGAATTTCTTTCGATGAATTCATTTCTATCAACTAGTCGTAATCGATTAGTTGTGATGATATGCAACCAATCATCTTTGAAATTATAATAGATCCACATTTAAGAACTAAAGCTTTTGCTGATATAACTAAAATAAGTTCTTTCAGTGAAGAAGAAGAAGAAATATTAATTATGATTGGTGCCTTATTTCGTATTAAGACAGTTATTAAAGATGAAAATTATCGAGTATGGATAGTTCATTTATCATGAGTAAATGAAGATGATTTTCATTTGAAAGAAATATATTCTCATATGAAACAAAAAATTGGTGATAGTACTAGTTTAGATTCTCTTGGAAAATTATTACTGAGAATGGATGAGAATGAAAAAGCACGAAAATGTTATGAACGAATGGTAGACGAAGCATTATTGACGGTAGCAGATGCTCGATTAGGTCTTGAATGGGCACATCTTCGTTGCAATAATTGTGATGAAAGTCTGAAACAATTTGAAGAAGTCCTACAAATACGAGAATATGTATTAGGAGAAGATCATTCTAATATTGGAGAGATTTATAGTTTTATTGGTGAAGTTCATTTAGAAAACGAGGATTATGAACAAGCTTTGATCGATTTGCATAAAGCAATCAAAATTCAAGAAAAAACACTTTCTTCTAATTCGCTTGATCTTGCTGCAACTTATGATAGTACAGAAAATGCATATACTCTATGAAAAAATATGATTTAACTTTAGAATATTATGAAAAAACACTTAAAATTCGTCTGAACATTCACAAATTGCTGCAATATATAAGAATATTGGATGGATGTATAAACGTAAAAAAGTTTATTCAAAAGCATTAGAATATTATCAAAAATCACTTGAAATTAGTCGTAAAACATTACTACCAAGGCATCAAAATATTATTGAAATAGAAATAGCTATTCGTCAAATCGAATCTAAAATGAAACATTCATCAAATATTCAATCAATAAATATATTACAGAATATTCATTCATTGTTCTATAAGAATTACATACTTTTATTTCATGTTCGTTTTAATTGTCTTATAGATTTGGAATAATCTATATTATACGAACTGAAATATGCTTTAATTTATTTAATAAAATAAATTTCATCATCAAAATTATTTTTTTTTCTATCGATTAATTTTATAGATCAGCGTTAAAACTCACAATTAGTCATCTAAAATGTTTAACAGATTCTTAACATATAGGAAGAAAAGTAACATTGAGATATTTGACAATCTTCATTTGAGTTCATACTGTGTTCACCATTAAAGACTTTAGTCATGATTAAATTTTCAATGAATTTGTTTCTCTGTCAGTTTATTTCGTAGGAACAAGCGTCACATATTTGTTCATGAATTGTATCATTCAGTTTTTTATCAGTTAATTGTCTTCACATTTTAATAGACGAATTTTCTGAAATCAGTTTTTGTATTATTTGTTGTGTCGTAAGAATCGATTATTTTTATAGCGAATATATGTCAAAAACAATTATGTCGAAATTTACATTTTATATAATCATTTTATTATCACTAATTGCTTGTCACTATTATTTAGTTGATTTTATTTTCAGACAACAACATAACATATAATCAAATAGGTCTAATGAAAATTTTCTAAAAGAACATTAATGTTTCATTTCTGTAATGTTCTAAGACAGTACTCATACTAGCTTTTGAGTTGTGATGCTTTTTTTAGAAAGATCTAACTATTTCTTCCACGAAGAAAAGTAATGGGTTAGATAAAGTCTTTTGTTAGATAATAGAAATATACGATGTTATTTTATATGTATAAAGTTTTCATAGAGTATAACTAAAGTTTGTTAGTAAGATGCAATAATGCTTATAGTCATGCACTGTATTTTTATCGAAAAATATCTTTGTCTAGACTCATCATAAGACTAGACATATTTTCTATCAGTGAAACTAATATGTATAATATTTTTTAACGAAAATTTCAGTTGATTAAAAGAAAAAAACAGATCTTTGACAAATTTGAAAGATACATATGCTTCCATTTTAATGAACATGTATATGTTTAAACACAGATCTTGTCTATAACGAAAAACAAATTTTTTGAAAATTCCGTTACATATAAATTGTTTCAATATTTTTATGCAACACGAGCTAAAAGAAGTGTTGAAGTAGAGGAGTAAAAATCTAAACCTTCATAGGCCGTATATCAATAATGACACATTATAATATATGAACTACTTCTGTATTATGTTTCTGGAAATTTAAAGAAAAGGATGGTTAAGAAATGTGTTCCAAAGTGAATAAAATAAAACAATCTTTCTGTGATTATCAAAAGTAACTATATCATGTTGCAGATTTCAATCCTACAGAAGTTGTACTAACAGCTTTTAAATCATATTTCACGAAATATAACCAATGATCACGATAAAACAACTGAAGAATGCCAGAAAGTATTATTTCTTCAAATGAAAATCCGAAGAAGTTTTGAAAAAGTCAAACAACAGTAACCATCATCCCAGTCATATTTTGTATTGCTACAGTACTTATTATATTTTTGTCTTGTTGCGATATTGATTTCGTAAATGTATATAGACAACTTTACAAATTTTTCAAGCTATTTATTTCATACATGATTTCTATAACGTTCTATGGTACAACATTTAATTCCATAGTAGACATTTATATACTTTCTCTTCGGTTCGTATATGTTCTACATTCAACATCTCAGAGTTTCGGTTCAATGTGTGTATCATGTGTTAATTTATGAATTGTCTTTCTTTAGTTTTTACTGGAATTAAGAATTTATCCGATGTATTCACACTAATATTGTGAAAATTACGTCGAGCATTTCTCGAGGCATGCAACTCATAACAAACATAGCAAATAAATAAATGATGATGAGACCTAAGTGAATAGGCATGAATGTGATGAAAATGATGACGATAAGGATAAGAATGATGGTTATCGGAAACTTTTTTGTAGTTGTTAATGTTAAATGATATAAATCACATAGGCTTCTGTGTTTGTTTATTAACTATTCGATAGAGACATTACATAGCTAATTTGTTTTTAGCTTCTTTAATTTGTAATACACCCAAATCCTCCCCTTCTTCTTCATAATTTTTGCTATTTTCATCTTACAACAATCAACAAATAATAATGACAAAAGTAACCTTAGCTAAACTACCCAAACCATTAATGCTATATAATTTGATGATTTGTTCCATTGTTATATTTGTTTATGTAGAACACTAAAGACAAAATATAAGAAAATAATATAGCTGATCTATAATAAAGTAAAGTACCGATAAGGCAGGAGCCACCAAAGCCATGACAAATACTAATGAATCAGATTATTGTTGAAGCTGTGATGAAAAATAATACATATTAATGTAGTTAAGTTGAGTTACAAATTACAATTTATACAATAAAACAAAGAAGCTGACCAACTGTGAACAGTATTATCACATCATTTACGCATTTGTTCCAAGAAAGTTTCATCAAGAAAAAGTTAGAAGACAGGAATAAATCTATGACTATTAAAATGAAGATTTTCTTATGTGAACTAAGTTATTTATATGTACAAAACCATCTACTTTCTTGTTCTCTTCAGTTCTATTTATCTTTAATAATCTTAAATAGTCTCTGAAATAAGGATCTATAAGCTGGAATCTCATTTTAGATATAACAAAAGACAGAATAAATTTATATAAAACATTATTGTTATTATATTGAATCATTTGTGATGATAAATATTTTCTTTATTTCTTTTTTTGTTAAGAATTTTCCTTCGTATGTTTGTTATTGATGTGTTCATCAGTAAATTTATTTATCATTATTATCAATTAGTAATTTATTTCTGAAAAATTGCATAATTTTGATCTACTTATGTTCGAGATCTTTCACACTGTATTATATGGAATAGTATGTATCATTTTATCAAATACATCTAATTCTAAACGAAACTGTGTTCTAAATTTTAATGCTGTCAATCTTGGTTTCTTGATTTAATTTTCTGTAGAATATTAAATTGTAAAACACGATGTATCTGCTATTGCTAATCACAGTGAGATTATTTCATTGTATGTACGTTGGAACACATTTCATCATCATTCTTGTACCTAGTCCTCCAGAATTTCAATTAGGAAATAGTAAATATGTTATGACGAGCCGTTACTAAAATGTCTATCACTTCTGTGATAAGCGTTCATTAGATGACTGTCACGTCTGACAAGTACGGAGTGTTCACATTCCCACCTCTACACTTCAAGACTTCTCTTTTAGGTCATGTTTTACAAAGAAAAGACAGTGAAAAAGTAGGACAAAGTAAATAACGAACATTTTGTATCTTTTCACAAAGATGAGAAATAGAAAAACAAGCCTTAGAAAAAAAGAATAATAACAATTAATATAAAATGAAAAAAAAGAACACTGTTGTTTGAGAAATAATTTTTTTTTTATAAATTTTCTTTCTAATTTTTAAGACCAATAAACAAAAATCAATCTAGAACTAATGATCAGACGAGAATTAAAGTTCTTGACGTTGTAAGAACAACGAACAGTAATTCAAATGAAAGATTAATCGTGCATTTTGAATAGCTTTAAAAACAATCTGTCATTGTTATCTCAGTCACAGCTACTGTTATATGTATGCTTAACAGCATCAATCATTACAAGATATAATCAAATTATTTTCTGTTCGACGACGACGAAGTTGAAGAACATAAAAGGATTGATGCATTTAGACAATCGTTTAATTTCAATTTGTTCTTTTTTTCTCTTTTTCCGCTGTTATTCTAAGAAAGAACTATTGAAGAATCTAGATTCCGAAATTGCAATTAATCCATAAGAAATTCTATCACACTCCATATTAATATAATGTTCTATATCATCATTTTTATCTTTATCTGCTGATGATAAAACGCCGAATGAAACGAATAATATAAGGATGTCTTTTGGTCCTCCTCGACTTTTTTCTAAGCTGTTGATAAGTCACGAAAGCAATAAAAAGAGTCAAAAATAAAAAAGCGCTTCTACTTCTCTGCGCCCATATATATATATATATATTTATTTGAACGAATTAGCATCCAATAATCATATCAACATCATTTAATGCATCCATAGCATTCTCTCATCTTTTTTTCGGCTATCCTGCTTTCTATAGGCAACATCGAGTGATGCATAGACAATTGGTTTCGGTCTTCTTTCGTTATTTTCTTTTGTATTTTTTTCAATGATGGCTTTGCGAAGAGCCATTCACTAAGAGAAACATCAATTGTCGTTGACATATATATAGATATATGCTTTTCATAAATTTATCTGATTGATTCTGATCGATTTAAATCAATTATGGCAATCACAATGTCACACTGCCTTATATTATTATTATTATTTATTGTAATAAATGACTCATCTTTTGCCCACCTTCAAACACATCAAGTTATACCATCAAATATGACATGTGTATCGATTCCATTGGCAACATTATCATCAAGAAATGATGATAAATTTTCTCCATTGAAACTTCTTACATTAACACAATTTTATTCTAATTATACACCAACATGTGGAAGATTTATTATGTAAAAATTGTTTTTTTTTTTTCTAAATTTTGTCTAAATAATATTTTCGAACTGTTTTCAGGAAATCTATTAATACGTTATATGCAAAACCAGTTACTTCATTGATTGAAAGTTTTTGTGCAATTTTACAATCACATCCAATGTTA